TGAAGGGAAATAGCAGCCTCCCAGAAAACCCAGGACAAAACAGAAGAGAAAAAAAAACAAAACAGAAAAAAAAAACCCAACCTACCAATTCCTTGTGTCTAGTCATAGGCTACTCTTAGATAGTTTTCTTACTTTCCCTGTCGTGTACTCTCCATTGCACCCAGGCTATTTTTGGTTACAAAAAGTGTGTGATTTCTCTGCAATTTGCTAAGTAATGTTTATTAAAATGTTAGTTGGACCTTATGACAATATTTTATCCTGTGTGTTCAATTCTAACATTTTGTGTATTATAGAAAAAACACTAAATTAAAATTTCTACAACCAAAACTTACTTTTAAAGTTCAGAGGAAGTGTGTTTTGTTCCACCTGTTGTTCCAAAGTTTTGTTCTTAAAAGCCCCAAATTCATATATGATGTCCAATTCCATGATAAGTGTATGTATACTTTTGGAGACTCCTGGAGAGTAAGTGCTCCTTATTAGGAATCTAAACTCGGATTAAAATGTCAAAACTGTAGCACTTTTCTGCCAATTAAAAATCAATGCCTAAATAACACATTAGGAATCAATGTTCGGACATTAAGTCAATGCTTAATGGTTCATACTAAAGGTTGAACTCTACAGGCTCTGTTCTGCCAATGAAAGCCTTCAAGGACATTGCAGTAGGAGTGTTTGTATGTGTTACTGTAAAACAGGGAGGTGAATGGATGGGAAAATGTGTGCACACAAGTATTGAGAGTTCCAACCTTGACTACTACAGAGGCACAAAGTCCTCTTTACTGTGTAATGTCCCCAGATATAATTAGTAACGTCGGTGGCTCAGAAGGTTAAGTGTGCAATCAATAAGAGGATCTTTGGTCCACTTCCAACTTGTTAATTGGTTTTACATTGAAATATGAGGTAGATGTTCACTTAATGTCTCTGAGCAAAGTAGATAATGGAAAACGAAACACTCTTTCTTTTAAACCAATAGAACAGAATTTCAAGTGTCTTCTTCACTTGTTTTTTTTCTGTAGACTACCAGTGGTACTGAGATAAATTCAAATGTCTGTAAACTATTGAAACCCTTATAAATAACAAATATAGCATTTATAAATTCAGTTTCTGAAGACAAATCATGTTTCTGTGTGCATGGTTTTGTCATGAAGTGCAGTGTGAGGTGGTGAGGCAGACGCAACGGACCCAAGTTAAAAAGAAGAAAATGATGATTTTAACGACATCCTATGAGCTACATAAAGATGAATCCAGCTTTTGTTACATATGACACAAATTGTTCCAAATCCAGGCAGCACAGTAGAGCGGAAGGGTCAAAACTAGTAGCAACTGGCAAACAAGAAACATCTGATGGCAGACTAGACATGACTAGACAAGACAGAATACAAGGACCCGACAAAGACACAGAAACACAGGTGACAAATACACAGAGGGTGTGCTGTGGTGGCGCAGGGGTTAAGCACAGTCCACATATGGAGGTCTCAGTCCTCAATGTGGCTGTCACACGTTCGATTCCTGGCCTGGTGACCTTTGCCGCATGTCTTCCCCTTTTCTCATTATCCACTTTCCTGTCAATTAACTATCAGATAAAGGCCACTAGAGCTGATAAAACTTTTAAAATAAATAAATACACAGAGGGTAGTCAGGGACTGAGACACACCTGGGAACAATCAAAGGGAAGACAGGACAAAAAGGAGATTCAAAAGACACAGAAAAACTCAAATCACCACAGGTTTGAGTTGAGAGCGGTGTCAATATTCTGCATGAACTGGGATTTTGAGATCATGAGTACCTGCATGAGTATTTTAAATCAACAAAGCTTTCTGTTTTATCTGAGAATGTTGAACCATACTAAGTAGTAAAAGGCTGCCATAAATTAATGACTTTTAGGGCAAATTTTTTCTACCTCGTGAAGAAAGATCTCCTGTTGAGGATATGATCGGGTTGTCTGCTTTGTTTCTATTAAACAAAACTCTGTTTTTCTTCTGTCTTGATTGCTCTCTTCTAATCTTTTCATTCTGACTTTTATGAATGTAAATATTGTCAAAATAACAGAATGGGCATCCTGCTGGCTGTCCGAATGTGTGTTGTTTCAGAAGGAATATCAGTCATTTTTTTATTTTATTGTTTTTATTCTTTGTACTTTAAATAAACTGCTTTCCTTGTTTTATCTTTTTTATAGATCTTTGAGATCGTAGGAGCTAAATAAAGATGGATCCAGCTTTTGTTGCAGGTTGCAAGTCTTTTAGGTTGTTTCTATTACACTCTAAAAAGTGTATTTGGGCTGCAGTTCATTTTATGGACTTATTTTTATTAATCTCACTTAATTATTTTTGCTTTAGTTGTAACAATGTACTTTTTGTGTTCAAAATCTTGAAATTTTTACTTTGACTTTACTTGAAACAATTAATTTCAATGTCGTGTTCGTGTCCTTCATTTGACCAACTAAATATATCATGATCATCCAACTCAATTCATTAAGTTATAAAAATCTTAGGAAATTAAGTGTGCCTAACATGACAAATTTAAGTAATTCTTACTCAAATCATTATTTCTTCCTAATAATTCAAATCTCTTTGACTTAATTCTACCAAATGTCAACTCAAACTTTTAAGCTGTTTCAAGCTAAAACACTAAAATATCCAAAATGATATGTACTTAAAATGATTGTACTTAAAATACAGCTTGAATTTAAATAATTTTAAATTTATTTTTTAACATCTTATTTTGGTTTTTCAAAGATCCTGTACTCTGAAAAAAGAAATTAGTTGAAACAACTTAACTGAATTGCTTCAATTGGTAACAAGTAATTCAATCAAGTTTATCCAACTGAATTCATTAAGTTGGTTTAACTTGATAAATTTAAGTCAGTCTTATTTAAATCATTTTGTTTACCTCAAATAAAGAAGTAAACTAAGTTATCTATATTTTACCAGGGCTTGAGACTCAGGCAGTCTTGATTTTATAGTAGTTAGATAGGAAAGTGGGGAATGAAAGAGGGAAGACATGCAGCAAAGGTTATCAAGCCTGGAATCCAACCTGCGTCAGCCGCGTCGAGGACCTCCTTATGTCTGTTGAGCTCTAGCCCTGCACCACAACAGCACCTGGTTGCTACAGGATCTGTCCCTGATGAAGCTTGAGTCATGACATCAGATGTAGGATATGAATACGGCATTGAACATAATTGTTTCAAGAAAAGTCAAAGTAAAAAGTTCTTTTAAGTTCAAGATTTGTAACTTGTAGCTAATTGAACACAAAAAGGTAAGTTGTCATAACTAAAGCAAAAGAATTAAGTGTGATTCATGTAAATAAGTCCATAAAATGAACTGCAGCCCAATTTCACTTTCTAAAGTGTTCTCTAAACAGTGTATTTTTAGAGTAGACTTTTTAGAGTGCACCTTTATCAGTTTCCTTGCTGAACAGCTTGATGATGGATGGATGCATTTTGAAAACAGCAAAACAAGATCCCTGTAAAATATGTAACTGTAATTTCACGATATTGGAAATATAGGGTATAAATAGCTTTACAAGACACTAATAAAGCAGTTAAAAATAATTTGGACAACTGCACACTGCAAAAACACAAAATCTTACACAGTACTTGTAAGTTCTAATTCTAGGTTCTAATACAAATATCTTTGCACACTTAAGTAAAGACAAAGATAACTTGCAAGTAAATTTTACTCAAAAATGGGAGCTTGTTTTGAGTGATTAATTCCTTAATATTGAAGAAGAAATACTAGTTTCATTGGCAAATTATTTCACTTATAAGATGGGAAAAATGAATTGTTATAATTGGAAAAATATCTACCAGTGGAACTAGTACTTTTCATCAATGTTCAAGAATTATCAACTTAAAACAAGTGCCTACATCTTGCTGAAAAGTTACTTTGTAAGCTAGTTGTGTCCTATTTGTGTACAAAGATATTTGGACTATAAGGTAGACCAAAGTACTTTGTAAGATTTTGTGTTTTTGCAATGTATGTCTGATTCTTGGGTCATTTTGTACAGGCTCTGTGTCCTCTCTGGGTTCCAGCGCAGGCAGCTCTCTGCTGCAGGTTCCAGGAGCTCTTCCTGCAATCAGCCACGCTTCACTGGGCTCTAAACATAGCTCCAGGCCCATCATCTGGCTCAGCACCTCCCAAAGCATCGACAGGCACTCCATACACAGACTCAGTCCGGCTAACAGCATGGAGGGCCACAGGCTCAGTTCAGCTCAGCGGACAAACAGGCACAGACTGAGCTCAGCTCACAGTATAGATGGATATAGATTCAGTCCGACCCGTCGACTGAACAGACACAGACTCAGCTCCACTCACAGTATGGATGGGTACAGAATGAACCTCGATCTGATCGCAGACCGGCCGAAGCTGCAGTCCAGCCACAGCATGGAGAGATGTCCGTCTGTCAGGCTGAATCCTACAGAAGCAGAGAGCAGACGTTCTTGCTGGCTCAGTCCTGAAGAGAGTATGGACAGAAACAAGCTCAGCCCCACCTATATTCCAGAAAGTTCCATCTTAAAGAGACCAGCATCCTTCTGCTCTGCTGGCAAACAGTTAAGGAGACAGGTGTGTCATTTTCTGCTGCTATCTCTTATTAAAGTCATATTTTATGTCTTCACTGATGCACAGAAAGTTTACATTTCATGAAAGAAAAGAAATCCATAAAAATGCTGTGATTAGACTAAATTATTATTTGCAACAAGGCTTTCCAATTTCTGAAGAAATTGCTGGAAGTGCCTGGCTTTTGTCTCATAGAAGCAAAAATAATTGTTTCTGTGGAGGAAAGGTCTGACAGTAAAGGGTCAGAGCTAAATGGTAAACAGATCTCTGAATAGTTGTTCATCTTTAATTCTGATAATCCAGTTACTTTAAAGGAGCTGATTCTGCATGAGTTCCAACATATGAATGTTCTGAGCATGGTGTTCAGTGACCAGTGTTGCTAGTCCTCCTATTTTTACATTGTGCATTTGATTTTTCTACTTCTGATAACTGTAATCATTTACAGTATAGAGGGATTATCAGTCAATGTCACAATGCGTGTGTACCCCGCTCTTTCTAAGGTGAATGCAATACAACGTTTTACCAGCAGATGGTGATTTTAGCAGGATTTAACCTGAACCATTTTAACTAAGTTACACTTATGTCCACATAGACACTGAAGTGAAAGTGGTGTTTGTGTAGACCAGGGTGCTCAGGTCTAGTCCTCCAGAGCTACCATCCTGCAACTTTTATGCGCATCCTTACTCCAACAGACCAGGATCAGCTCTGAACAGGCCTGCTAACGAGCCGTTCATTTGATTCAGGTGTGTTGGAGCAGGGAAGCATCTGATGGTAGCTCTGAAGGACCGGACTTGAGCGCCCCTGTTGAAGAACAGGGAGCTACAACAGCGACCTTCTTGTAGCTCCCTGGGTCCCAGAACAAATGTTCAGAACTCTGCGGTTCTCTTGGAGTAACAATGCAGTTTAGTTAGAAATTTTAATGTAGATGGATTTTTTTTAAGTAAAAATGATCAGCTAGCCTCTACCATGGATGGATTTTTAGATGAATGGATCAACACTTCTCATAATTTTTTTAAATTCTTTTGACATATTTGCTAGTGACACACACAACATAAGATTTGCATCATTGTTTTTCATTGGACAAAATGTATAATTGTTTTGATTAAAACTTCATGCTTAAAGAACTTATTTTTAATAGCATCCAACCTTATGCTAAACAGAAAATATGAAAATGCCCAGAAAATATTTTAATTACTACATATTTTCTACAGATGGTTGACAAGTATGAAGAAACACAGATTATTTTTTTTAAAATAATGATGTGATAAGTTAGTGAGTTTATTTCATTATATCTGTGTGTGTGCATGTGTGTGGGGGGTTGTGCGTGGGTGTGTGTGCGTATTTGTTTTGTCCCAGGCGGCTGTGTGCTGTGACTCCCTGGACCAGAGTGGGTCAGCTGATGACCTGGCAGAGACCTGCCTCACTGAGCCCCCGGCTGCCTCCCCTCCGCTGTGCCAGAGATCGTCCAGCGTGCACACACTGAAATACACTCACCCCCAGAGGGTGATCTCCTGCAGGAGCCACAGCCGGAGCCACAGTGAGACCACCACCCATGAACATGTACCTGAGCAGGCCAGCTGTGACTTACAGCCAGACACAGAGGCAGAAAAGAGGCCTGTCAGCCCTCAGGGCACGTCCAGTTTGAATGTCACCAGCACTGAATCTATCCTTTCTGCTTCACTGCTTAACCACAGAGCGGCCGGGTCAGACCCCGCCCCCATGCTGGATGATGCTGATGAGGAGGTCGATGGGATGAACGGTTCGGTCACTCAGCCTGCTCCCGGTGGACATCTCTTTCCGAGTCCCGGGGAGCAGCGGAGTCGCTTCAGTCACTCAGCATCGCCCGTCTCAGGCAGGAGCAGGAAGCACCGGATGAGCCCACCGCCGGGTGACAAGCCGGTCACTAAGGCCCCACAGTTTCTAGACAGCAGTGTTGAGCTGAGGAGGCGGACTCTGTCGTTTGATGCCACCACTGTCTCTCCTAACCAGCAGGAGGGCAGCTCTGTGGAGGACAAAAACACAGAGCCAAACATTCTGCTGAACTTCTCATGAGAGGCACAAGAGCTTCAGACTGAACAGGAGTGTTTCCTGCTGTCTTATTAGATTTTCACAGTGTGTGAAAAGAAGTCATGATGTGTACAAGTGAAGAAATCTAAGGACTCTTTTGTGCTTCAAGCACACAAAAATGCACACGTAAAAGTCATCTATTATATCTTAGCTTTAGTTCAGGCACAGTAGCAGCCCGGCTATATTTACAACCTTCCTGCTCTCCTGCTGTTGCCATTAGTCATCATTTTTCTGCAAGCCTAGGTCAGAATACAACACAAAGATTGTGATGCTTCTTATATACAGTGCCTTACAAGAGTATCCACACCTTTTCAACTTTTCCACATGTGGTGTTACAAAAACAAACTACAGCATAGTTTGTTTGAAATAAAATAAGTTTCATTTTACTTTGTGAAGTAAAGTATGCTGTGCATCATGCACTCCCACAGCATGATGCTCCTGCCACCCTGTTCCAAAGTGTGGAAAGTTTATTTATATGCTCTTTATTTCCCACCACACATACATTTTGTTGGCCAAATACTGAACTATTAGTCTTACTTGACCAGAGCACATTTTTCCTCATTTGCTGTATCATCTTCATCACTTGTTGTAAAATGGAACCATAAGACTTCTTACTGCTCTCTTAAACACAGTCTTTCTCCCACCTGAGCTGTGGATCTATGCAGCTCCTCCATAGTTGCTGTTGGCCTCTTTGCTCCTTCTCTCAGTGCTCTCCTTCAAGCCACTCCATAATTTGACCTGTCTGCTGTAATCTTTGTGATGCTTGTTGTCCAACAAATCTGTTTCTCAGAGCAGTGAATTCTGATGAAGTTATCTGGAAGTGGACACTAATTACTTGTCAGATAACTGTAGTGGGATGACTTGTTGCAATGGGTTTTATTTAGTAAAAAAAAGAAAAACTGAGTACAAAAGCATGCAATATTTTTCATATTTCCATAATTAAGAAATTTGCTTCTAAAGTCACTGGTAGCCTTTAATCAACAGTAGCTTCATAGGAAGAAGGACAGAGAAGAGGAGGAGATATGCAGCAAATGGCCCAGACAGGGTAATGGAACTAGGGACCACTGAAATGAGGACCAGAGCCTCTGAGCGGTCTACCTGCTCTACCACTGAACCACGTGGTACCCCAACTAAGATTTATGTATCACTTTAGCTCAGCTTCATTGTTATGTAGGACTTTGTGTTGGTCTATTAAATAGACTCCCCATCAAATACATTGAAGTATGTGATTTTGAACAAAATGTAGAGAAATACATAAGATTCAAATACTTTTGCAAGGCACTGTATTTTCAGAAGTCTGTGGTTTTATTTTAATTAGAAATGCATCAAGAGTCCAAAACAACTTATTAGGCCTAATCCAAGCCAAATCCAAGTCAAAATATGTATGTGACTTTGTCACATTTGAGAAACTTAAACCCCAAAAAGATGATTTCTAGTTGATCTAGTCTGTTGTTCAAAGTTCCAGTATGTAACTTTCATGATTTATATATAT